CATTTTGAGTGATGTGATTCAAACATAGGAAGTGAGCGATGTACACTGTTTGAGAACAGTTCCAACGTCATCAGTTGTGAGCAACCTGTCATTAGGCAGCCCGTCCTAATAAACAAAGTCCATTCCATGCACCCGCCAAACCCTCTGTTTAAGAATGAAAAACAGTTTACAAATGATTCACAACTGATGACGTCCAAACACTTCCGTAACAATTGCTTTGCTGACGACATTTGTGTGAACCACAACGCTGTAAATGCTTCACCCACGTACTACAAATACAAATAAGCACCAACAGAACCTAAACATCTAACCTAACAAGTGCCTAAATAAGCACAATATGCTAATATAGAATAATATTAATTTATATTTGAGAAAAGTTCTGTTTTGAATGAACAGAATGTTAAAATTGATGAATGCATCTTTGGGGTTGACTACTGGCAGGAATAGACTTGTTATGAGGATAAGGGGCCTCGTAGCCTGGTGGATAGCGCGCAGGACTCGTAATTCTGTGGCGCGGGTTCGATTCCCGCACGAGGCAGAAACAAATGGGCAGAGTTTCTTTCACCCTGAATGCCCCTGTTACCTAGCAGTAAATAGGTACCTGGGAGTTAGTCAGCTGTCACGGGCTGCTTCCTGGGGGTGGAGGCCTGGTCGAGGACCGGGCCGCGGGGACACTAAAGCCCCGAAATCATCTCAAGATAACCTCTCAAGAAGATGGGTTGCCTCAGGGAGGAAGTACCCTGGAGGTAATTACTTCAAAACCCCATGCTTGGCTACTGTGGGGTGAGGACGTGTTGCCTGACCTCTCCGATAGTTGGTGGGATTTTGCCGGTTTGGCCGACAGGGGGTGTGACAGTTTCTGCCCGCCCTACATTTGATGCCTGGCTCCAGTAGTCATTCGGTGATCGTCGGTGGCGCTCCATAATGGGGGGACCTCTACCCCCTGTTGTGAGGGTGCACTCTGTGGATCTGGAATTTTCTGGCCAGGCTGGGTATCCTGAAGTGGAGCTCGTCATGTGTGACATACTCTGTGTACCTGTGGAGGAGATTGATGTAAATGCGCACCGAGTAATTATCAAGTTTCTGGGGGAGGCGGCGTACTGTGAGTTTCTCCAGCGCTACGAGGGGCAGTCCTTGCCACTGCCGGATGGTGCCAGCTCTGTTCCATTTCAGATCGTAGTGGTGCCATTACATATGTGAGTGTTCATGGGGCGCCTTTGGAGTTTCCCGAGGACCTGCTTAGGCGATACTTCGGGCGGTTTGATGCTGTGGTTAGCGTGTGACTGCATACGCTTTCCTTTGGGAAATTCAAGGGTTTGAGGACGAACATTCATACTCTGGGGATGCGCCTGAGGTCGGACATTCCATCTTCAGTCCATCTCATGGGGTACTACGTCCTGGTGTACTACGGCCGGCAACCACTAACATGTTTCAAGTGTGGCATGTTAGGGCATCAGGCTGCTGTGTGTTCTGAGGCTGCCATTGCGCCCATAAACCTCTTCCATGAGGTTTATGGGTTTACTTTCCGCCACTCTCTATGGAGAAGGATTCCGTGGGTGAGAATGTGGCTGTTCCGTCCGATGATGTGGGCCCCCACCCCCCTCGTGCCTCCTGGAGCACCTCCTGCTGTTGTCGCTCTTCCTTCAGACGTTGTGTCGTTTCCGAATGATCGTCCTGCTACGGTTGGTGTCCCTGCTGCTCTGGTGGATCTTCTGGGTGTTCTCTGCACGTCGCCGACATCTGCCTCTTTGTCTTCTCCAGCTGCTGTGCCTGACCCTGCGTCCTCCCCTTGTGTCCCGGCTGTGCTGGGTGCTGGGGTGGTTGCGGTACCTTCTGTTGTGGGTTGCCCGGTTCCCCCTGTGATTGAGGTTGCTGCTGTTCTGTGCCGGGTGTCGGTTCGTCCGGCTTGTAATACCCGTGTTTCTGGGTCCGCCTCCGGCTCAGATGATGTGCGGCCAAAGCACAAACGTTCCCGGCATTTTTCTTCTGCCTAGGCTGATGTGGGGGACTACGACGCCAGTGGGTCTTCGGGAGACGATGGGGTGGTTGTGGGTGTGTCGCGCTCGGTGACGGCGGTGGTGGCTGAGGTCCATGTGCCCGCTGCTGGCGATGATAGTGCATTAGACTCATCTCATGTTCTTTCTTCTGCAGGAGGTTCTCCGCGGTGGGGGTGGTCGCTCCGCCTGACGTAGATGGTGCCAGTGATACCTTAAGGTTACCTTGAGGTGCTTCCGGGGCTTAGTGTCCCCGCAGCCCGGTCGTCGACCAGGCCTCCTGGTTGCTGGACTGATCAACCAGGCTGTTGGACGCGGCTGCTCGCAGCCTGACGTATGAGTCACAGCCTGGTTGATCAGGTATCAGGTGATGGTGTGGGTCGTGGCCTGGTTCTGGTGCTGAAGAAAAATATTCGTCGTGGGGAGTCATAGCCGGTACCAGAGAGTGTGGTTGTTTCAGCGTGGTCCCCTGTGGTCTTGCCCCCTGCACTGGTGTCTCCCGTGTCCCCCCCCCCCCCCCCTGCGTCCTCCTCTGTGTTTTCTTCTGCTGCGTTGCGGGCTTTGGTGATGTCGTCGAGGAAGTGGCGTGCGGTTACTCGAATGCGGCCGGTTGAGGATATCGCGGTCTTTGTTGCTCAGGGCCGGACCCCCCCTTTTGTGGGCAACCCGTCCTCTTAAAAATAACGTCACTTTTGGCTCGTATGCGCGCTATGGCTAAATTTGGACGTAATTTGAAATGAAATCGACTCACAAAAGTGACGTTCTGTTCCGTTTTCTATTTGAGTCGTCCGGCCTACGCGCAGAGGTTATAAAAGGACACTTTAAATTAATGTTTTTCATAACGTTTTGAAACTTTATGAGAATTTCCTGCCCACCTAACCTATCAGAGGACCCTTAACTTACTGTTGTTGAAAAAAAATTCCAAATATATTTTCATTTTTTTTTTTTCATTTTCAAATTACGTCCAAATTCGACCATACTGGCAAACGGCCACAAGCGACGTTCTTTTTAAGAGGACAGGTTGTTGTGGGAGCATGTGGCGCCAGTTCCCATGGCTTGGGGTGCCGTTTGGGTCCCGAGCTTACTTGCCTTCGTATCAGGGGTTCCGGACTGTATGGTTTCTTCCTATGAGGAAGATGTGCTTGCGACATGGGTGTGCTGGGAGGCGTACACTGTCCGGTTTCCGAGGGACCAGTTTCCGGACAAATATGTGGATTAGTGTACTGTTGTTGCGCCTGTTTGTATTTGTGAAGTGCCCTTCAGGCTGTTTCGTTGTCCCTGCCTGTTACTATTCTTGTTATTTTACGTTGTTTACTGTGTTTGTTTTATGTGTTTCCTTTCATGTTGTTATTTGTCCTTATGTACTGTTGTTGTGAATTTTGTTTGTGCTACGTGTTATTGTTTTGTTGTAGGTCCTTCAGGCCGGTGATTGTGTACGTTGTTTGTTTTGTTTAATTCTTATGTCCTTGTTTTATTGTACTTATTAGCATGCCTTGCATGTAAATATAAAAATAAAAAATAATAAAAACTTTAGAAAAAATAGAAAATTAGTGCTATTATCTATTCCCTATCCATGGTTAGTATAGGTTAAGGTTACGTTAGGTTAAAGTTACTTTAAGTTAAGGTTATGTTAAGTTAGGATTAAGTTAGGTTCCATTATGTTAATATGGTGTTTTATTCTCATACGTATGAAATATGAAATTCAATAACTATTAGATTATCTCCAAGAATTCCATATACAAAAAAACAAATTCTTCAGACCGTTTCAAAGAAGTGATGCGTAAACCTGCATACATATTTTTTAAACCAGTGATATATAATTCAATAAAGTAATAACTTAAGAGTATTCTCTGTGCAGGACAAAGGTCCTCTTGCCTTTTATGGTATTATGGAACCATAATATACTTTCAGACCATCACAAATACCTGACTAAATATCCAGGTATTTAACCAGGGTGGCTGGTTGGTCATTAGAACCACTTTACTTTGAGAATGGTCTGATTGTGAGACGTATTAACATCCTCATCAATTGCAGCCCGTCCTCATCAACAAAAGCCAAATGCTCATTAATCCTGCCGCCAAACTCGCAGTTTATAAATGAAAAACGCTTTACACAAGACTCACAACTGATGACGTTCGAACATTTATCGAACACTGCCTCATTGACGACTTTTCTACTAACCACAACGCCGTAAATTCCACGCCCACGTACTTCAAATACAAATAATCGCCAACAGAACCTAGACACATAACTTATGCCTAACTATACATAGAACTGTAACATATAATATTATTAATTTGTTTATGAGAACAAAGTTATTTTTTAATACACAATAAATACAAATGTATGAATGCGTCTTAAGGGGTGGTCGCTGCTTTAGCGAGCCTAGCCTGAGGAGACGGTTGAGTATAAACACTCCCTAAAACACCGTAACACAAACACCGTAACACAAACACCGTAACACAAACACCCCAACTATCTTTACCGAGGCCTAACTATGCACGCACCCGCAAAATATAATAATATTAATTTATATATGAGAAAAATCAGTTAATTATTTTACCGTGTGAAAGCTTTACAGTGTCAGGTGGCTGTCTGCTCTATTTGTCAAACTGTGACTTATTAAGACCTACGTTAGTTGGTATACGTCTTTGTGGTGAAGCACAGTTTGGAGGAGCCTGACCTGGGGAGGGCTGAGTCAAGTCTAGAGTGAGGGGAAAACACTTTTAGGGAAAAGCCGCCAGCATGACTACACAGTCAATACTACAATCACAAGATGCAGGTCTCAGGAGCTGGAACCTCAGACTAGCTCCCCCCCCCCCCCCCCGCCCCACAACCTAATTAAGTCATTTTCAGGATAATACTAGATATTCAAACCAAGTTTGGTGACTGTGGGGTCAAGCTTGGTGGCTCTTGGGTCAAGCTTGTTGACTGTTTTAGGTGAAAACTTATTGTGTTGATTATAAATAATTATATATATACATATATTTTTAGTTTGTAACTTTCCTGTTGTCCGCTGACGATGGTGTTGAGGGCGAAAACCCACTTTAGGACCAGCCAGGCTGACACTTTCATCTTCCTTGTGATGACGTTGTTCAGCTCTCACCACTACCCAGCCCTGAGAGTCTCAGCTCCTAGCACTGTGGAGATATTGTCTCCACCGTTACTGCCAGCTGGGAGAGACTCGGTCTCAGCTCCTAGAACTGTGGAGATATTGTCTCGTTCGCTGTGGCTTCCAGTCTCGTGATACTGTCACTCATCGCTGCTGTGAAGATGGTTTCACACCGACAGACACTGCTAGGCGAGGAGACGTCGGCACAGAGAGGCAGCTCTCACAGGGGTATGGTCCAAGAGACAGTGGGAGAGAGTGGGAGGCAGACAGGCAGGGGGTCACAGCACACACACACGCCTATCCTCACTACCTCGCTCCTCTCTCTACGTGTACTGGCGCAGCTCCCACCTGCCCGCCTGCACCGTCTATCTCACCGTAGATCGCTCTTCGTGTCGAACAGCCACCAATGAACATTTGGCTTATTTTATTTGATGTAGATAAGCATACTCTTATAAAAGTACATTTCGTGGGACGCCACAATATACTGGCGCGTGGGTTCACCGGCAATATACAATCCTGATTTAGTATTTATCCTTCGTTATTAACACAATCAAATTCAAGTGCCGATTATACAACCTCCAGTTTCAAACTTTCTCGAATGTAAACAATGTCAAATATTTCGAAGTCACATTTGTTGTCATTGCATATAATCAATTACATATATTCTGTTGCAAATTAATGCATCATTGGGTTTAGAAGATTTGAGAAAAATATCCAAATTAAAAGAAAGTGCCCATATGAGGCATCTCCTATTTATATCCACCCAAACTCATTCATCCCAAACCACAATTTACCCAAGACCTTCCTGAACTTAAAGTTATCCAATTTATTCCAATTATTTTGTATTCTTTTTGTGTTCATATAAGTAACACTTTGTTACACCTTTTCATCCATCTGTTTACATCCGTCATGTCATCCCCAGTTGTACGCCATTCTGGAGAATGTCAATATTTTCCTAATCTCTGTCATCAGGCCAGTTTGTAAGTCTAGTCTGCCATAGTTCTCTGTGCGCGATCATAGGGAGCTATGTCATGCTGTAATGAGGCGACAACATGTCAATTGTGGACCAAGGCTTTTAACGTAAGATAGTGTGGTAAAGTTATTATTATTATTGTTATTGGTGTGAGTGTATATGGGGGGTTGTTAAGGGGTTAATAAATAAGTACATGAATTACAGAGTATCTCTTCTTCCTGTGTGGGAGCACATTGATCAACCCTTAGACTAACATATATGGTCTAGTAGCAAGTTATTACTACTGTGGATAGTTTATTTTGGGGGCCGGGCCTTTAGCTCTCCCATATTTGATACTCTTGTCTTCTAACTACCCTTACCCCTTAATAGTACCAGTACCCCATAGAAGCCCCACACACATATATTTATAACAAGTGGGCGGCGTCTTGTACATACCAGTTGCGTTGCTCCTGGGAGTATGGGTTCGAGTCACTTCTGGGGTGTGAGTTTTCAGTTGCATATTGTCCTGGGGACCATTCAGGCTTGTTCGCATTTGTGTTCCTCACGTGTGCCCCAAAGAATGAGGTGATTTGGTAAAATGCTATGCCCAAGATTACCATCCGAGTGCCGGCGGTGGGGTGGTTCAAATAGCTTAGGCTATCACCTCATTATGTCCGGTCGTGATGGTCAAGTGGATTAAGGCGTCTTGTACATACCAGTTGCGTTGCTCCTGGGAGTATGGGTTCGAGTCACTTCTGGGGTGTGAGTTTTCAGTTGCATATTGTCCTGGGGACCATTCAGGCTTGTTCGCATATATATATATATATATATATATATATATATATATATATATATATATATATATATATATATATATAAATATGTATGCAATTGACGATCACAAAACACTGATCATTTTATGCGGAAAATCCACAGAGAAATATGAAATGAGGTGAACGTTTCGGCTCTGTTAAAGCCTTTATCAACACCAGACTGACTAAGGAGAAGGGAGAAGGGGGAGGATATATAGGCCGACACCTGACCAACCCATCCCTAGGGTTGGTCAGGTGTAATTAACCAAAAACAGGTATAGCTTAGCTTAGAATGGTCAAAGAGGATTAAGCGGTCAGAGAATTCTAAGCTAAGCTATACCTGTTTTTGGTTAATTACACCTGACCAACTCTAGGGATGGGTTGGTCAGGTGTCGGCCTATATATCCTCCCCCTTCTCCCATCTCCTTAGTCAGTCTGGTGTTGACAAAGGCTTTAACAGAGCCGAAACGTTCACCTCATTTCATATTTCTCTGTGGATTTTCCGCATATATATATATATATGTGTTATGATCTCAGCCTGCAGGAGAAACGAGTCTCCCTCCTTGAGAGTTATTCATCAAGCCTGACCTGATTAGAAGGTCTAGCAAATATTGAGGTGATAACCCATATGTAAAATAGTTGCTTGGATATGTATAACAGTTTGAGATTATGGGCAATGAAGAAGAAAACAGATAAATGACTGGCTAGGAGATGTGGACATTTTGCTGGAGGCGTGAGGCTCGCTTCCGGAGGACCTTGACCTCACTTGAGTGCCAGACATCGCAGGGGAAAGCCGCGCTCCGTTTGAGCTCCCGTCAGAAGGGAACCCCTAGTGATATATCTCTAAGAGAAGAGAAGTGTGCAGACGTGCCAGCTGTGGAACCGAGCTGGGAACGTTGTGGTCTCAAGTCCTGGTCGACGGAGAGTTTAATAAGCTGCTCAGAGGCATTTTCGTGGGCTGTGTGGAGCGCCCTGACCAGACGCCGTCAGAGGGAAAGCGCCCTCGACCAGTTAATCTGTGGTAAGCACGATATACGCCAGTTCATAGTGATTGCTTGTAGTTGGTCGTGTGCCCAGCGACAGTAGCAATGTTTATTTATAAGTTAGACATGTTTTAATAAGGCAGAAAGCCTGAAATAGGAGAGTGAAGAGGGAGGAACACGGAGCGACGTCCGTCCCCTCTGAGCTCTGACAGACGACTGAGGGAGCCCGGCTCCTGACGGAGGAAGACCCTCCCAGCGAGTGAGGACCGCCGCCGGGCGAGGTGGAGTATGGACCCGCCCAAAACGGGGGAGTCCACTCTCACTGTATGTAGAGGACAGATAGAGGTTTGAGGCAAACATATTGTGTGATTATTTTTGTTTATGTGTTAAAGGGGAAACATTTTATTGGAGTGTCGATGGGTTGCAGGTTTGTCTTTGGGGAAGAAGTTGCTGAGAACTTCGAAGCCAGCAGATGAAGTAATTGATGAGACTCCAAGGTAGTGGAGCAGAGGACCTCGAGCTGTGAGGAGAAGCAGTGAAGAGGAGTGTCACGTGCTTCTGTAGAGGTGGAGAAGCACCATAGTTGCTCGAGGAAACTTCATGGTGTAGCAGCCAAGAGAGCTGTGGAGGAACCTAGCAGAAGGGTGAAGCACCGTAGTTGCTCAGGGAAACTTCATGATAGCAGCCTGGAGGAGCTGCAGAGGATCCTGGTAGTGAAGCCCGGAAGAACCTAAGGATATTAGGGTAGTGAACTTCCAGAGGTGGAAGGGAAGTTCTGGTGGATTACTTGTAGGGAGTTGATAGTGTTTGGTTGTCATTAGCGTACAAGACGCAGTGAGAGGTGAGTGACTGTTTGCATTCTTATGTCAAGGAGTGATTTATACTGAAGTTTAGAGTTACAGTCGTAGGCTGGATTACCTACAGATGTATGCGTTCTAGGACTGAGAGTGATCGATTGATCATTGTTGTGTATCAATGAACATTTATACTGATATATGTTATTGCATTCAAATGCTGATTTTCTATATATATATTATCTTGCTGATGGTGCAACAGTGTATGTAGACTTGATCAACTTGAGGAGGTTGATAGTATCAGGTGGTGAACCAGGAGATAGGATACCACTTGATAAGCTGATAATAGAGTTCTGATGGTGTTGGAGTGCAACCTGATTGTAATATTATAGGGTATAGGATTCATTATTATTATATGTGTGTATGTATTGTGTATGTGCTTTGTCTAGTAAATGTATCCCAATTTGCTGGTGTTTGCCCTTGTCCTAGTGAGGCTTCCCAGGAGGTAATAAAGAAGGAGAGAGAGAGAGAAAGAACCAAGAACCACTGCTGTGGACAGGGTAGAAGGTAATACTAGTAAGTCATAGGGGATTGAGGAGATCATATCACCTAAGGAGAGGGTGGGGAGTCACAGCGGCTCGAGTGGGTGTGTGCACGTGACAACGAGCATAAGTGTTGGAGCCGCATCCCCTAAACGTGTGACGTTGAGCCCCTTCTCCAAGAGCCAGAAGTGCCAAGGGTGATCTCCTAGTGAAGTATAAGCACTCTACCGAGTTGTGGGTTGGGTTGTCCGTAGAGAGGGATCAACGACGACAACACCACCAACCAACTCACACTATAATAAATTGGGGGCCTGTGTCCGGGAGAGAGTGAACTGACACACCCACACCCTGTCCAAGAGTGGATTTGTACACCCCTTGCTGAAATAGATAAACTGTGTGACCGCAGGTGTATACTCTCTCTCTTGGGAAGACTCACAGGACAAAGATGGATAAGGTGCAAGCGTTTGTGGAGTCAGGCAAGCCTGAGGACTTGGAAGGTTGCACGAGGGATCAATTGAAACAAATAGCAGAAAAATGTGGCATTAGGTTGAAAGCATCTAAAGTAGCTGGGATGAAGGATGAGATCCTGAGGCAGTTAAGAGCCAAAAGTGAAGCGGCAGAGCAAGGAGCCCAAAAAGGAGCTGAAAGTGGAAAGGAGGATGATGGGCAGGATGAAGTGAGATCCCAGGGATCGAGTAGGAGCAGCAAGAGTAGCCGCAGTAGCAGGAGTAGCCGAAATAGGAGCTTGGAGAGATTCCAGTTAGAGCTCCAGATGCAGCAACAACGAGAGGACAAGGAGAGACAGTTCCAGCTGGAAAAGATGAAATTAGAACTCCAGATGAAAAATGAAGCCGAGAAGGAAAAAGAGAAAACCACCTGGAAGTAGAAAAAGAGAAAAAGAGAACTGGAGTTGGAAGAGGAGAGAAAGAAAAAGAGAAAACCAGACTAAGAGAACTGGAGTTGGAAAAGGAGAAAGAAAAAGAAAAAGTCCCAGGTCGAAAAAGAAAAAGAGAGAACAAAACAAATGCAGATAGAAGCGAATAGAACCTTGGCTGAGCAAAGGATTGAACATGGGTTGCCAGAGAGCACCACCCAGGTATCACACCCACCAGATGTTAGGGTTAGGGAGAAGGACATTCCCTTGTTTGTTCCCGAAGAGGCAGAGAGCTTCTTCGAGCATTTTGAAAAAGTAGCCAGTATCAAGGAGTGGCCACAGGAGGAATGGGCCC